CAACAGCAACAGCAGCAACAGCAACAGCAGCAACAGCAACAGCAGCAACAGCAACAACAACAACAGCAACAACAACAACAGCAGCAGCAGCAACAGCAGAGGGCTAGCAAAGCTGGTGCGATGCAGCGAGTTGCCTCCGCTGCTAGTTCCATGGGCCCGCCTACGGCGTCTGCCAGTCCGCGCACGCAGTCGGCTTCGAACGCGCTTTCTCCCATCGCGTCGACGCCCAACGCCAAACCCGCCGCACCCGACAAGCCGAAAGCTCAGAAAGGGACCCGAGCAAGGGTGAGTTTTTCAATCATCTCTTTTCTGTTCGAACTCCTCTTCCCTATTGCCCCTGTGGGCGAGTTGATGATCGTTTACTGACGCACATGCGTTGGCGCACAGAAGAATTCAAAAGCTGCAAATAAGACGCCGTCTCAGGCTCCAGCTGTTCTGCCAAGCCAACCTCCTGGCTCCTCTATGATGGCATCGGCAGCTGTTGCCGCATCTACCCCCGCCAGTATAGCCCCGAACGCAGTGCTGCAGAATCATCAGGGTGATGCTGCCAGCAGTGCGGCTACGCATACCCAAAACCAGAACGGCGCACCATCAGCGCAAGACCCGCTCAAAAGGCAAGCGCAAGGCTCGGCCGTGCTAGACTCTTCGCAGCAACAACAGCAGCTGGCACACGCGCCATTCTCGGGCGTCGGTGCCGGCGGCGCGCTCGGCATGGAAACGCACGACGACAACCAAGACTTTTCCGACATGTTCAACTTCAACTTTGACTTTGACGGCGGAGACTTTGGAGGCAACATCTTCGGCTCCAGCGGGCCTGGCGGCACCGGCCAATGAGCCGATGCGCGAATGTACGATGCCGCGATGCCGGCCGCCTCCAGTCGCCTGCAGCCCGTCAGGGCCTAGCAACGCGCCTCTTATCAACCTTAGTGCAGCGAATCCGTTGGGCCGTGGACTTGACAAAACTGTCGATTATTCGTCTTTCTCCCTCTTCGATTATCTCAGAGAGCCCCAAATACCCCTTCGCTCTCCTCTTTCCTCATCTCACCCCCTCTTTTCGCTTCTCCACTTCTGTCGTCGCACTGTTTGTTTCGGTATCCAACCGACGGTCTCATGCACTGTGCTTTTCATCTTCGAGCGTCTCGGCAAGATGTATACTAGACAAGCTGCGTAAAGGGGGGATTTTGAGGAACATCGAAATGTAATTTCTGTGTGCTCTCAACAGCGCTCGACCTTCCGTCGGCGCTTACAATTTGCGTTCTATGTGCATGTGTCCATTCGCATCGTCGACAGCAATGAAGTGCGCAGGTCAAGCAGGTTGACATCTGCCTCTTACTCAGCCGGCGACGGCGCGAGCGAAGGATCACACGTGTCAAAGCAGGCAACGCACTCACCTGGCTTGAAATATCAAGGGGCGCAGGCGAACTGATGCAGATCAGCCGGTATGAAAGGTAGATGCGTGCTGTCTGTTTCGCTCAGCGATACCTTGTCTTTACTCAGCAAGGCCTTCCGCTCATTTCACCTACCTTTTGCAGACTATTTCTGCGTACTTTGTACTTCTCTTGCACGTCTGCAAATACTTGTGCTTGCTTCACCTGGATGAACACTATATACTGCCATTTTCGTCTCGCGAGCGACAACCCAACCTTCTTCGCGCAACTTCAAGCAATATCTTGCATCTTTTGCCCTTTTCGTCTTTGGCTCACAGCAACGAGAGGCTCGAACACAGAGCTTGTCTTTGCGCTGTGCGTAGTCTTGTCACGCGACGGTCACGGTACGTAATGCTCGAGATTTCGACATTTTGAAATCTTGGCAGGTGTTTGATACTTGAGACTTGACAACAAATGTTCATTGTTCATTGAGATGACTCGAATGTTGCAATCGTTTGACAGTTCTTTTGGATTCTCTTCGAGGACTACTTGCTTCATAATTCAATGCGTTTTGTAGATTTCCAATTCTCGCAAGCAACTTGGTATCCGCTATCTCCTTTCTTCGACGCGCGAGGCGGCGAATTGTGAACAATGTTCTCATATCATCCCACCGAATGCCCTAGCAGCACGTCTGCTTCGAGCTCAACATTCAGCCATCACCAACCCGGGCTGCGGTCGCGCGGGCGAGGCGATGGAGGCCCGCGAGGGCTGGGCGAGCGCCTACTGCGCGGAGGAGGCGAAAGCGGCGAGCGTCTACTGCGAGGGGGGGAGAGGGGAGGGGGCGATCGGCTTGCGTACCGACGACGTGGTGGCGAACGCGAGCGAGTGCGGCCACGATAATCGCCGCCACGAGGCGGCGGGGGCCCGTACCTGTCGCGATCGCGAGGCGGAGGTCCTCCTCTGCTGTATCCACCTCCATATCCACCACCGCCGTAGCCGCCGCCGCCCCCAGCGCCACCGTAGCCACCGCCGTAGCGAGGAGGAGGGCCATAGCCGTAGCCAGGTCCACCGCGGGGGCCACCATGCGGTGGAGGGCCACGCGGAAACGGAGGGGCGTCGCGTGAGATGCCCCTGTATTCGCCCGGGGTAGGGTCGTGAGGCTTCCTCGTGCTGCTGTAATCAACCCGGAGTCTACGACCGTGCAGGTCGATACCGTTGAGCTCGCGGATGACAGCGGCAGCGCCGTCGAGGTCCTTCATGGTGATGAAGCCAAAACCGCGCGAACGTGCGGAGCGGGCATCGTAGACAATGACGACTTTCTCAACAGGAGCGACGCGGGAAAACTCTTCCTCCAGGTCCCGCTCGACTGTGCGCATTGAGAGGCCAAAGACACCGACGATGTTAGTGGGTTCGACGTCGCGGGGTGCGTGACGAGGCTTGGGCGGAGGGGGGGGGGACCGCGAGCTGCGTAAAAGGCCATGCAGAATGATGTCAGTTTGGATCTCTACTTCCACATTACCGCAAGTTGAAGAAATTCCTCCATGTGCTCACCGGTATCGTCTCGGAGGTGGGCTCCTGTCGCCACGGGGTGGTGGAGAGCGGCGCGGGGGAGGAGACATGCTTCGGTCGCGTGGAGGAAGAGGCGAGCGCGAGCGCGTCGGGGGAGGTGAGCGCGAACGCGACATGGAGCGGCCACGCTCAACATCCGCCATGTTTGCGAGAGTTTGGCTATCTGCCGTTAGGTCTGCGTGGATGGATGTTTCGAGCGGATGCACTCGAAGTGGTAGAGGGGATGGTGGGGTCAGCTGTGGACTGGTGGGGGAAGGGGGTTGTACAAGTACAAGTGAGAAGGTTTCTTAGAAACAGCCAGCATCGGCCATTTTCGTCGGCGGGAGGCATCGGCGACTTTACAAGAGCGGAACGGGCAAGACGCCGATGTCAGGAGCACATTGAACGGTGAAATGTTTGAGACGACGACTACTGTTGATCGTTCCGCTGTGATTTATTCAGCCCATTGTCCACCGGCTGCGGTGTGGCAGGGAACCACTGGCAGCCCTCTCACCAGGCGGGTCGTCCGTTTGGTTGCTCACGCGGTGGGACTTGGAAGCGAGCTTGAGGTTAACTTCATCTTCTGACCACTTGCTGAATTCTGGACTATCTCATCTCATCCGATAAGTCGAGGTCACGCAAGATCAATTCAAGATGGTGAGTTCCTTGCTCTTGCGTGCACACGAACGCGTATGCTTGCCGATGCACAGGAAGGCAGCCCAAGACGACAGGATCCGCGGGATCGGATTGAACAGAACGCCTGCTAGCCCAGGTTTGGGTAGTGCGAAGATAAGGCCTTCGTTAGGCGAATTGCACGGAGCTTCAATTTTCAAGAAGCCTTCGGCAAGATTGGCTGGGGTTCTTTCCTTTGCCAGGACCGTTTACCGCATGCAAGATCTTGCGCTAGCAGCTGGAAGCAATCCTGGATGGCGCAGGCCTTAGATCAAGGAGTAGTGGTGGGGAGTGGAATTGCAGAGAGTCGGCCATTTGCAGCTGGCGTCATCGTCAGCAGGCATGAGCCGCGCCATATCGCTGGACACTTGCTTCTGCCAAATCAAGGGCGAATCTGGAGTGCCCTAGGGCAAAGAGTAGTAGCGCCAGCTCGAAGCACCTGTCCTCGGACAATTCTTTCCTGCCTGGTGGGATCATTCAGGGGGAAGAAGACTCTGTAGAACTCAAGCAGATAACTTCGAGCTCGCAGCTTTTGTGAATAGTATGTGGCCGAAGCGGTTGGCTCGGGTTGGGGTAAGAGCTCCTGGGGCCACCTGTATGATGCAGACTTTCTCGTGCAATCCGACGTGCCACCTCGCCCTGAGCACATACTGACATCTGTTCATCTCCAAAAGGGTATCGACATCAAGAAGCACCACGTCAAGAAGGGCCAGCGTACTGCCCCCAAGAGCGAGGACCCGTACCTCCTGCTCTTGGTCAAGGTGCGTTCTTGTGGATTTGCTTTCGCTGAATGTTGATATGAAAGGCTGATTGAAATAATGCTTGTTTGATCATGCAGCTTTACCGCTTCCTCGCGCGCCGCACTGACTCGCGTTTCAACAAGGCCGTTCTGCGTCGCCTGTATCAGTCCAAGATCAACCGGCCACCAGTTTCGATCTCACGCATCATCTACCTCACCCGCAACAGCGGTGGTGTCGCCAAGGATGCCTCCGCCAAGCCCAAGACGGTTGTCGTTGTTGGCCCGATCACGGATGATAACCGCCTGATCGAGGTTCCACAGCTGTCCGTTGCGGCGCTTCGTTTCACCCAGACTGCGCGCGCACGCATCCTTGCGGCTGGTGGCGAGTGCCTCACCCTTGACCAGCTCGCGCAGCGTGCCCCGACTGGCAGCAACACTGTTCTCATCCGCGGCCCGAAGAACGCTCGCGAGGCTGTCAAGCACTTTGGCATGGGCCCGCACAAGCACAAGAAGCCGTACGTTCGCGGCAACGGCAAGAACAGGAAGAGGGAGAACGCGAGAGGTCGCAGGAAGAGCCGTGGCTTCAAGGTTTAAATTGGCTGAGAACCAGCTCAATGAGGATGGGCTTGTTTTTCAGGTGGGCAGCAGTCGCGATTGGAAGAGGCCGGGCTGCTGCCAAATGGGATCCGGAAGGCAACGAGTATGGAAAGAGAGCCGCAGCCTAGTGTACCTTTCTGTGTCTGTCTTGCTGTCTGTCTGGAACGATGGGTGCGATGCCGGGCTGGGAGTGGGTCTGGGGCATCCATCACGAGGTGGTCGCATTCACAACAGCAGTTGTTTTGCTTTCACCGGCGGCCAGCCACTGGCGGCCCGCTTTTCATCATGTACTTTTTGGCTATGGCACACAAAAACTAGGCATGAGCTTCAGAATTATTGTGAAAGAGGTTCACCATCGCATTTGCTCGATACTTGCCTACAGATGTTTTCGAAATTACGAGATAAAGCGCTGATGAAGGTGCTCTACGTTGGAGAAGGCGGAACGGAGCAAATTTCGTGTCGCCTAGTGCCTGCCTTTGCGAGAAAGCATGAGGTGTCGCATGTTCCGATCTTCACACTTCTTCTCACTTGATCTCCCGTAACTCGAGGGATATCAATGAGGTTCGAGCCTACTGAATACTGGCCATTCGTCTTAGGACCTTACAGCGTAATTGCCCAGCATGTATCTTCTCGGAGTGCACTTACCCGATCACAAGCTCGTCAGGGTGAGATCAGCGGATTTCGGAGCCTTCGGTCGAGCTTCCCAGACGCGCTAGCTGACCCTCGATGGTTCTCCTTGCCCTCACACATCGACGCACTTTACCTCCTCTTTTACAACATGTTCAGATCGCCCTGCAGAACTTCTATGGGATCTCAGATGCGACGGCGAAGCGACTATGCGCTCGCTTGTACCTGCACGATAACGCCAAGGTTTCGCACCTGACAGAGTCGCAGGTGACAGAATTATCGGCGTACCTTTCTTCCCCTGGCTCCATCCCAGCACGGAAGCCGACGCCCACATCGCCATATCCCGTTACAGCGCAGTTCAGATCATCATCATCAGCGCCAGCTTCCTCTTCCGCAAGTGGCTCTGCAAGCAGCAAGCCGAATGATCCAATGCTGCTACCTCCTTCGCAGCGGCCATCACCTGCAATGGACCCGTTACGCTCAATCGTAATCGAATCAGATCTCAAAAGGCAGATGCAGGAGAACGTTTTTCACCACAAGACTGTTGGAAGCTACAAGGGCAGGAGGCACGCCGGGGGGTTCCCAGTGCGGGGACAGAGGACGCAGAGCAACGCCCAGACGGCGCGGAAGCTGAATCGCATCGAGCGCAGGCAGATGTCTACTACATCCATTGCGAGCGCCTGCACAGCTTTTGCGCGGAATGGAGATGTGCTTGGAGCAGGAATATCTGGCTCTGTGCAAGTCACGTCAGGGAGAGCGTCAAGCGTCATCCTCGCTGCGATACCGCCTTCTCGTTTCGGTGCGCGCTGAACCCTGCAACGCTGTTCGCCACACCACGCTCATCTCTCCCGTCACGCAATCTTCCACAACCATTGCACACATTTTGTATTCATACACTCGGCAGCAGTACATACATACTCTCATCAGACGCTATCAAGGGCTGCCCTGACTTGTTCTGCTACTTGGTAATGTGTTTGGACCTCTCCTACGCTGTGCATTTGTATCCACGCATGTGTCGGACTGGGGAGGGAGGTGTACATCCCTAACTGCTGCGCTTGTGTGTGCCTCCATGGGCGGAATCCTCTTTCCAACATAACTATCCTTTACGTTGCTGTGATGCAACATTACTTCAACTCTCCTTGGGCTGATGAGGCGATGACGCTTCGTGTTGGCTATTGACCATAGTTGACTATTGGCTCTTCTCCGCATGGCCGGTTCATTCAAGCTATAGCTCTGCAAGAGTTCAGATTCTACACTGTGAGAGCCTTTGATTGCCGGCAGCTCCGTCCTTTGACGCCTTGCTCTGGTGAAAGTTGCAGGCAACGTTGCTCGCCCTATAGATGCTGACACGCTGTGGCATCAACCGAAAGCCGTTTTCAAGTGGTGCAATATCTGTTGCGCTCTTTGCTTGCCAGGTGTGCCCACCGAAGAGTCTTTACTTGATCCATCGCTCCATCATGACGAAAAGCGAAGCGCCATACGCGCGCGAGCGCTCGATTGCCATACGCGCTGTCTTGCGCGCCTCGCAACTCACGTCGTCGGTTTTTGACAAGCTGATCTCGGCTTCCGACTCGCTCACAAAGTCGGACAAATCGCCCGTCACAGTCGGAGATTTTGGCGCACAAGCTGTTGTTAACTCCATCCTCGCTACTCACTTCCCCGATGACCCCATCGTTGGCGAGGAGGACAGCAGCGATCTCAAGACGGAAGAGGGCAAGAGCATCAAGGAGCAAGTATGCCGATTGGCGAGAGAGGCGCTGAAGGGTGCAGCAACAAACTGCCCGGGCCTCTCGGGGCAGGGCGTACAGAAGCAGGAAGAGGAGGACCTGACAGAGGAGAAGCTACTGGCGGCCATTGACCGAGGAAACCATGAAGGCGGCGCGATTGGACGTGAGTTACAACAATTCCATCCGCCGATGTGCGAGACCGCGCATACTAATGCAAGCATTGTACCTCAGGAATGTGGGCATTGGACCCGATTGACGGAACAAAAGGCTTTTTACGCGGCGGCCAGTATGCAGTCTGCCTGGCGTTCATCGTTGACGGAGTTGTACAAGTTGGCGTAATGGGCTGCCCGAATCTCCCTATTTCACCGGCGGATCCGAAGCCATCAGGAGATAAGGAACGTGACGCCCAAGTTGACAAGTCAAAGCTTGGTACGGTGTACGTTGCCGTGCGCGGGCAGGGCGCGTTCCAGCGTACGCTGCACGACGAAACGGAGACCCGGATCAGCATGCGCTCGCTTTCTGCCTCCAAGCTCTCACAGGCGTCCTTCTGCGAGAGCGTTGAGAGTGGACATTCGTCCCATGGCACGAACGCGAGGATCGCGGAACTACTCGGCATTAAGAACAAGTCTGTCAGGATGGACAGCCAGGCAAAGTATGCGAGCATCGCACGCGGTGACGGCGATATCTATCTACGGCTACCGGTCGGTGATGGGAGCTACCAAGAGAAGATTTGGGTAAGCGGCATGGCAAGCACAACCGGAACTGCCATATCTCTGACACAGGCACACGTGTTTTCTTCGTTCTCCATTGCGCTTTGCTTTGCGCACGTCAGGATCATGCGTCAGGATTGCTGCTCGTAGAGGAGGCAGGCGGTAAGGTGACTGACCTGCGCGGGCAGGCACTCAACTTTGGCGCAGGGCGAACGCTGCGCGATAACAAGGGCGTTGTCGCGGCGCACTGGGACGTGCACGGCCAAGTCATCGAAGCGGTCAGCAAGGCATTGATGGAGGAGGGCAGGGGAAGCTTGCTGTAGAAAGACTCCCTGGTGCGGTTCACTGCCTGGCAGCGGATCGCTCTTTCCAGATGAACCAAGTTCAAAAGGGCAGCGGGACGCCGCCTCGTATCCTTTTGACTTCCTGTGCCTGCCGTCTGCGCCATCGGATATACCCCAAGCACGCATGAGGCATTCGTGATGAGCCGTGACGATTGGCACTTGTCGCTCATCATCACATCATCGATCATCGTTCATTTGTTGATTGTAGGTCATCAACGAGACTCCACGGACGAATCTTTCGGAAACAACGCATATGACTATGATGCATTCTCGCAGCTTTATACGAGGCACGCGAGCACCTGATATACCTCCGCGTCACTCGATAGCCTGCGATAGCGAGTCAGAATGTCGATTGCCGTAGTCGCGCATGTGTTGTTGGAGTACATCTCGTCATTGTGAACTTTTGAGAGCGTGGAGTTTGTATCCTGGGTCGCTTCCGTTCCGATGCATGTAGTGAAATGGCCGGCTTTATAAACGCGCCTTCGGACCCGATGCGAACATGAACGGTGCGAGGCGGGCGGGAATGAGGGACGAAATCCGGTTGGATTTTGATAATGTACACATACACATACCTTCTCACATGAACATCGAACCTGTTATTTTTAATTGGCGTCATCCGCGCGGAGGACTCGAGAGCCGAGCGCGAATCACGCGGGTCAAAGCGACAAGGGCAATTCCGGTCCATGTTGTCTGCACCTACCCTGTTTACTCTGTCCCTTCACATTCGGCGGTGCAGCGGACAGGGTGCAAATAGAATGAAAGGGTTTTGCTGTCTGAACGAGCCTGTCACCTCTGGCATGCTTTTGAAAGCCATGTTGCAGACTTGCACGCGGTAAACGTTGCCGGCTCACGGGTTGCTGGTCAAGTACGCATGCACGCTGCCACTCGGCCGTTGATCAATAATTCTTAAACATTCAGGCATTTATCGTTCAGCTTTCTAAAAAAGAGCAACTAAGAGCATACAGACGCACGAAGAAGTCGAGCTCCATGGATTTTGGGACTGCTGCGCCACCAGAGATTGAAAGGGATCTCCTTTCACGCTTTCGCCATTCCGATTCAAGTACATAGCAAAGTGCGATTACAAATTATAGATGGTCACGTGCAACGATTGCACACTGTACCGTCCGGCATGGTATCACAGCGCTTGGCGCAATGCCGAATGAGTAGCGCCTTCTTTTTGCCCGCAACTGAGTTCTGTTGGGCTTTTGTCGCGGTACCTACCCAGAAGCGCAACAGGTGAAACTTACATAAGCAAGCATGAAGTGACGTTTCTTGCGATTCGGCGACGCGTCTGTGTGCTCTGCATGTGAAGTTTTCACATTTTGGACATCTGGACCCTATTCCAAATGCATCGTGGCGATTGGCAGCCTTCATCAGAGGAGAGAGAGAGGCCTCATCATCGTGCCATCGTCATCATGCATTCATCATCATCGACTCGAGCACAGTGAACTCTGCCAGCAGTAGGCAGCAGTACTTGTTGCATCTCCGTCGGTGGCTCCACAGCAAAGGCCGCCCCCGCACCCCGCAGTGCTGAAGGCCAGTGGCCCGGCACTGGGTAAGTGTGGGCAGGACACCGATCCCTCTTGCCTGTTCTCACACATCCATGCATCATTCATTGGATTGATTGTGCGCATTCGGCTTGATATAATCCCGTTACACCCCTCACACAACACCCGATTGTGTATGGCATGGTCTACGTTATGTCCATACGAGTACACTATCGGCAAAGCGGTTGCTCTCAGTGGCGGATAACAGCTCGCCGCGCGCTTGCCGACTTTGACAAGTCCCCCATCCCCTCGTCCAAGGTCACTTCCCCGGCGATAGTGACGATTTGAACCACATCCAGGCAAAGGCTGGGTTTTCTCTGCCCAAGCACCGTTGAACAGGTGAGCAGACCGTGACACGCGACGGGAAACCCAGACCGGGCTGTCCTTCTAGAGCTGGAAGCGGAAGCGGGGTCGAGGTGCGGAGCTTCAACACGCTGCGCACCATTTGGGCGTGGAGCTCGTTGGCACTTGGCGATCGAGAGGCTCTTTTTTGTTATGGACACGGAATCGCGATGGAGAGATAAGGGCAGTGAGTTCAGCTCGGCTCACTTAGGCCCACAGCTCACCCCGCTCCCAGCGGTGTGATGTGAGATCTGGCTAGTGGTCGAAGGTGGAAGACGGAATAAGGATGGTGGCGATTGGGCAGGCAGCGGGAATGTAAATGCAACCTTCATTCGGCTAGGGCCTGTTCGCAGTTTGACCATCATATTGACAAATTTCTTCTATGACCTCGGGTGCTCACCAACCGACCCTACCGACGACATCAGTGGTCTATCATGAGAGAGGCTGTTGACTGATAGGACTCTGACCAATCCATTCAGGCGTCGCCTTTCGTTGCACCTTCCAAGGTCAAACTTGGCAGCAAGGACAACGGGAGACTTCCCACAACACTTGCCCGCACCCACTTTTAGCTCACCATTCAGAGTGCATCGCTGGGTCCACAAGACGGCAATTTCCGTCGCGCAATACCCATCAAACAGGCTCAGTCGAACCAATTCGGCTTTCTTTCTCTTTCAGCTTCGCAATCTCACGCAGTCAAGTCAGCCGAGTCTTCGTTCAACTGCACCTTCCTTCTTACACCTTCCATTTCTGGGAGAGACAGCAACGAACGAGCGTACGTGCATTTCTATTCGCCGTCCGCTTGTAACTTGTCTTCCGACCGCCATCCATCTACCTAGCCACCAGCTACTCCGCTTTCTCCCGGAATAGTTGCCCGCCATTCACGCCAACGAAGATCCATTTGTGCACAAAGACCGCTGCAGCATACACGACCTAGCAGAAGGCACCAATGTCACACCAGTTCTATCAGACTCGCATTCTCCCGGTCTGCCATTTTTAACGATCCCTGATCCTTCTCATGGGCGATCGCATATTTCTTCATCGCCTTCAATCACACTATCGACATTAGCATCATATCCACCAATATCCTGCGCGCAACCAGCTGCTGCAGTCTCTGAAACACCGACACATGCACGCGGCCACGGTGCGTCCCAAGCATCTCGCCACCATCACTTTCATCAAGAGGCGCATACACTAGCCGCGCCCGCGTCATCCTTTTTACTCGCACAACCGCATCCTCTCACGCCACTGCAATTGGCGCCGTCGATCTCGACCTCTAGCGGATCCTCGGCAGCATCTGCTCCCCGGTCACACACGGACACGACCGCCTTCTTAGCCTCATCCGGGTACTCATACTCATCCTCTTCCACCACGATCTCTCGCAGCGTTGCGACACCCCACAAGGCGCAGCTTGGTCATTCCACTACAGCCCCATCAGCAGCATCTGCTGATGAAAGAGTCTCGGCAGACTGTCTCTCCGTCATTATACACGAAGGACAAGGATCACGCGTTATCGACGCCGTCAGCAGCGATAGCGCTCACGCACCAGCTACATCGGCCATCGTCACCGCGTCAGAGGTCCACCCGCTTGATACGAGCTTACCGGACATCTCGACGGGTCTGGTCCTCTCTGGGCTCAAGTTTCCCATAATCGATTTCCTCGCAACCAACGCGCCGAACGTCCGCTTGGCCGGCACCGGTGATACCGCCAGCACGACCGGCGGTGATAGTGTTTTCTTCTCACCCGGCCTCGCCGCGTTCTTCAACAGCAGCCAACAGCTTTTGCATGGGGTAACGGCTGCTGCTGCTACTACTACGTCTTCTTCTTCTTCTACTACTACTACTACCACTACTACTAGAGGTGCAGATCACACGTTTAGCTCTGCTTCCAAGCTCGGATCAGCACTCGCTGGACTCACTACATCTGTTGCACCTTCCCTGGTTGCCGCTGCTGAAGCACACACCTACGACGGTGCAGCGGACTACATCAGCAGTTCGTTCATCTTTCCCTCCCCAGCAGCCGCATCGCAGCAAGTTGGCACCAGTACCAATTCTCAGGATTGGCTGTGGCACCCGCAGCACAGCGTCGCTCCTTCTGCGTCTGCTGCATCCAGCGTTGGCCATGCGACAGACGAACATCGTGCAACTGTCTATCTGGTGCAAGCTTCCGGAGCGCACGCGCACACAGGCTTCGCCGAGCAACAGAAACACGACTCGCACGACGCATCCACACTGGGCTTCGCGCGTGCATTGGAGCAGAGGAGGCAAAGGTCGAGCGCAGAGGGCGGTCTTGACATTGGCATGGATTCATTCAAGCTGCCGTCTGTCGCAGCGGCCGGCGCCCTGGTCAGTGTGTTGAACGGCAGCGGGCGTCAGGACGAGGCGAGGGAGACAGCGGAAGGAGGATCAGCCAAGCACAGCATCCACTCTGCTGGTCGCACACCCATGAGGCCACCCGCAAACCCTCTAGCGCCGCGCAGCGGAAGCGGCCAGCCGATTCTTCGCAAAGGCTCGAATGATTCGTCCGGCTCAAGATCTCACTCGGGCTCTGGCTCCGTCTCAAACAGGGGAAGCGGCGATTCTAGCGATCTAGCGCTGATGGCGCAATCTGCCTCCGACTCTCGCTCCAGCTCCGTCTCCGGCTCTGAGTCGCGGTCGCGGTCGCGGACGCCCAGAGGCAGCGCCTATGCCTACGGCTCTGGCAACCCTTATGCAACATCTGCCACCAGCGTCGATGGCGGCGATCTCTCCCCCTCGGCGGCGGCTGCGAGACGTATCAGCTTTGGCGATCCTGGTTCCGATCCTAAAGTTCCAGCAGTCGGCATGCATCATCGCGTATCGATGCTCATTTCTACCGGTGCTGCTTCGGCAGCCGCAGCGGCGCGTCGATCTCTGTCACCTGTCGCGTACCATTTGCAGAACATACGTGACGTGTACCTCGGTCCGCAAAGTCACCTGCAGCAGCAGTATGATGAGCGATTTGTGCCAGCTGCTGGATCCGTGTCAGGACATGACGAAGGACATGACGCAGAACAGCCGCACCCGAAGTGCACCAACGCATATTCCAACTTTTTCTCCGATTCGTCGCAATACCATGGTTCGTATGGTGGCTTCCAATCTATTCACCTCTTGACCCCTGGCGACAGCTTCCAGCCCGCTCCTTCTGGTAGCCCAATAGGCTTCACGGCCACGAGCGTGCGCCCGCCGTCCGAGCATGGCCCACGGTCCTCTGCTTCTCACTACTACCAACAACAGCACCACCAGAATGCGCGATACTACCACCAGCTTCCACCTGGGTACGGTCAGCAGCCGCTGCCCACCTACTCAGCTGGTCATCACAAGCTGGTAGGCCATGCACCTGTCCCGCTCTTCAGCGATGGCACGTCCATGTCCATATCGAGCCCTGCTGCACCCGGCGAGCCCTCGTCCACCTCGTCACGAGTTCTCAAGCGCAATCGAGGCGGAAGAGATGATTACCTTTCGGACATGTCGGAGACGACGCGGCTTAGAACTGATGATGTCATTTCGGCCTCGAGGACTTGCTATATGGCGTCATCTACGGGCGGTGCAAAGGCGCAGCAGCAACATCAATCGTACATGCGTGCGCCTGTAGCTGCTTCTGGCGCCAACACCAATGCGTGGCCGTCACCGGCGCCACCTCCGATTCAGCAGAGTCCGAGTCCTATGCCCGTTCCGCCTGTGCGAGGATCAGCACAGCTTGCGCAAAGCAACGGCAAGGGAAGAGAGAAGAATGGCAAGGGACGGGCGCATGCAAGCACCAGCACAGATGTTGGGTCTGCAGCATCGTGTCCCATCTACGCTGCCACCGCAACTACTGCTGCACCTCCAGGAAAGCCAACGAAAAAACGCAAGAGTGACGGGCTGAGCAGACCGGCGCCGTACACCGCGGAAGATGGCAAGAAGCGCTATCCTTGCGGTCATCCTGGCTGCAACAAGACGTTCTCCACGAGTGGCCACGCCGCGAGACACAGCCGCATACATGCAGGTGAGACGGACGAGTTAGCCCCGTGCTGCATCTGCCGGCCGCGACTGACGCGTCTCCCCTTTCGATCTCGCAGGCTCCCGGCCGTATATGTGCACGTTCCCCAACTGCAAGGCGCGCTTTTCACGGCAAGACAACAGCCTGCAGCACTACAAGACGCACATTGCAGCGACTAAGAGCGGCAAAGAAGCCGATCTCAGCTATGCGTCCAAGACGCAGGAGGAGCTGGTCGAGGAGGAAGCGCACATTGCAATCGGTCGCAAAGCGTTGGAGGATGGCACCGCGATCGCGGTCGTACGAGATATCATTGATAGTAATGGACAGAAAAAGGGAGAACATGTCGAGCGAACAGTTGGGCTGCCGCTGAGCACGCGCAATCCCCCTCTGACGTCGTCGAACGCAAATGCGAACGCGAAGGAAGCTATAAGCCAACAGCAGTGAGACGAGCACGACGGATTTGATGATAACTGCGAGCACATTCACCTCCACCACTCGACACCTCTCTCGTAGGAGTTGCTGAGGCAACATAACCGAATGGCTCTAGACCGCAGTGAAAGCTTCCCCGCCTCCAAGTACGTTGAGAGGAATCGTCCGCTTGCAGCAGTCAGTCTCACGGAACAACGGGGGTACGCATCCATCGAGTCTGATGCAGCAGGCAAGCCCGCTCAACCTACCTCAGCACCGGCAAGCAGATCGTTGATGTCCAATGCCAGCTCGCAATTGTCTTCGTTGGCCATCACCTTGCCCCAGCTATCATTAGGCAAGGTGTCCAGTGTACCGATGACAACGCACGTGACGACAGGGCAGGGACGCCATAGCTTACCAGGCATGAACCTGACCGATCTGCCCAGCCAGCTCACTGCGAGAGCCGCTGCAGCTGGACATGCGTAACCTGCAGCAACGGGGTCTAGTCCTGTGCTATATCACGCTTATATGTACATGCCAACAGCGGTCGGCGGCATGACGCAATGTGGCAACATGTGCAGCATTTCATCTGCTCAGCTGCCGCATCTCAGCTTAAGCGCTTCGCAGTCGACAGCCATGCTGGCTCCGCCTTGCTCACCGCCAGTGGGCCCCTCTCGGCGCATGGCCACGCAAGAGCGATTCCGTACTCATCCGGTCGCAACATCTCACGACGCAAGTCCATAAGCTACTCACCCGAGGTGGGACGCGTATCTGCCCAGCTTCGCCACTCGACGATGAGCGCAGACCGAAACGATCGCTTCTGATAGGTATGTGGCTATTCCACACATTCTGAGCGCCTCCGATGCACTTTCCTCGACGTCGCTTCGCACCTTATCAAAAGAGGTGCAATTCCAAGCTGCCAAACCGACGAATGAGAGACTTTGATGTATCCCCTTTCTCTTTATGTTGCAATCGTTTTATCTGGACGCAAGCAAGACAAGAGCACACACAAAATCGCAAGTCTTGTCAAATCCTTCTTGATTCTCTACCATTGCAGAAATAGACACGCATGCACATATAAGTAGCGATGCCAATTCTGCTTGCAGCCTTGGTCGCTTCTGCTCCTCGAGTCTGCCGGTTTGGAGCTTGCCCGCCAGTCAGTATTTTGCCGCATTTTTCGGGGTCGTTGTGCTGCGTCAGAAAAGCGCCTACCCTCGATGCCTCTAACAAGCAATGAGAGCCGGTGATATCTGCCTAGCCGACTGCTGGTTGTAGCAGTGCCATTGTCATCGTGTCCTCAAGGAAATCGCTATCATCATCGCCCACCCGACGAGCCAAACATGCATGCATTTCGTGATCCCAGACAAGCAAAGCTAAACATGAGCAGAGATTGCACTTATTTCACTAAGGGGAATCTACACAAGGGTGAAGATTACGATGCCCTGGACAAGCGACTCCGCTTCAGAAGGATCTTGGCAAGCGGGTGAGTCTGCCATACGCTGCCAGTGCTTGATTGGCCGGACGTGCGGTCTCTGCGGGCTGATGGCGCACAGTGTGGGGGGTCGATGCATGCTCAGGATGTCTCTGAGGCTTTGCAAGAAGGGGTGGGACGAGCATCAGCGCGAGTCTGGTTGTAAGGCGGAGGAGCATTGGAGTCAACTAACCTGCGATAAGAGCCACGATCATCCTGTGAACGTAGAGAAACGCACGACAGGCGGTTGGAGGGAAGGGGAATCCATTACAGGAAAGTGAGTCAGCTCTCTGTATCCCCTACGCACAGTTGGGCTATTGTCGCATCGGTCCAGCATAACGGAGCAAATCTCGCCGAAGCGCAGGGGGCGGCGATTCGTCCCAAACAATGACTGACCTGTAGAGGTAGTAGAAGAAGCTGATGAGGTAGAACCCGAGCTTGATGAAGCATTCCTTTTTGTGTAGTGATAATGTTCGGAAAATCTCGGTCGCGTCTAACATGTGATTCTTGCTCAAGAATCTGCCATACGTGTGGGTTTGTAGAAGAAATAGAGGGCACGAAGGGAGGGGAAGAAAGTGGGAGAAAGGGTAAGGAAAACGCAGAGATACCAAAAAAAAGATGTCAAAGATGAGTGTCGGAAGCAAGGGGCAGAGTAGAACCAGGACACAACTCACTTGTTAGCGTTATAAGCTACTAGAGGGGCGTTGATCAAGAAAGCGATGAATTGCCCGCTGAGCAAGAAGAGTGCCGTGAGGACGGCTTGGACGATCATCTCGGGAAGAATGAACTGTTCGGGTTCGATAGGCGACGCGACGTGCGAATAACGGAGGGGAAAGCAAGGGAGACACGGCGAGAAGAGGAGTCAGGGCGCTGCCAGCAGTGAGCCAGTCGATCCGCGAACGCATCCCACGCACGTAGTTCAATTTTGCGCATAGATCGATTGGATTGATGTAGTCGCTGTGGAGGAGTTACGATGCTTGTCAGATTCTGCATTTTGATCGTTAACATGACTTGAAGGCGTACCATTCCAAATCTGAGAACATGATGATCTGGAAATTGCAACGCAGACAGCAAGTCCTTGTCAGCAATGTTCACATGATCGGCTCTCGGCGCTCGTTACGCTCGCAACTCGGAGACCAACTGACGTAAAAGACCATCGTGAACAGCAAACCTGCCGACACGAGCACCGCGAGAAGGAACAGCCATCCTGGAGTTTGGGTTCCAAGCAGATCAATCGTGCCCAAATTGTCGTGGGGAAATTTGGAAAGGAGGGAGCGCAGAAAATATTAAAGGAAGGTCAGTAGCTGTAGATCGTGCGCTGCACGTCTCCTTTTCCTTCAATCGCAGCCTTGCGAGTCTGCATCTCCGTTTAAATGATCCCGCATGCGCAGCGAAGTGAACTAAGGGCGAGCACCGCCCTACGAAGGGCTTTTCGTTCTTGTCTGCCCTCCTTACCGTGCGCATGTGCTCGTGCGCGCCGTTTGGCTCCGGATGATTGATCGCAACGCGGGCTACGCACCTTCCCACAACATGTTGGGCAACCGAAATGAAAGCCTTATCCTTACAAGCGTGGAAACGCGATGGGACCGAAGCTGGAGTCGGGTTGGGTCGATGAAAAGGGAGTAGCAGCTTCGAGAATCACTCGCACGCTGTTGCGTTCGAGGTTGGGACGAGCGATGCGTGGAAGGATTACCCTGGCGTTTTCGCTGGAGGATTGATGCAGAAGTGTGCGATGCATACATTTATCACAAAAGGCGATTCAATAGTGACCGACGGAGAGAGCGCTGTCAGAGTCTCTCTGGGGACGAGAAAGTATCGACGAGGAGACGCTTTCCGCGGAACACACTGCACACCCGAGAGTCGTCTTCTTCCACACAGCCCATCTCCATACTATTAGTAATTGGTACCACCGCATCTCCTTTTCACAGTCGCAATCCCTTATCGCATATGCCAGTGCGCAGTGTCCGTCACGCATTGGGGCCGTATCCGGCCTCCAGCTCAAGGCAGATGGTTTCGTGCGGGCGTGACTGGTCACACGAGAGCCTGAGAACAAGGGGCCGGTGCTGACCGTTCTAAATCGTGGCGGTGACTGCATCCGCGACTATTGACCACTGACTTTTGACTGTACATCTGCGAGCGTTTTGAGGGCGACGCACTTATTCGCCAACGCTCGTGCCTTGAAGGCTCATCAGGTGTGTTCTGAGCACCTCATGACAGCAGTGAGCTGCATGGGGGCGTGGAAATAGAGGAGAACGTTGCGCTTGCTATGATACAGATGGTGCATGCGAGGTTCGACCGGTGCGCCATCCCGCACAGCAACACTCACGATGGCCCGCCCGATAAGGGTTAGTTGATTCGACGGTGAAAGACACTAGCGGGCTTCATTGGATGAAGTTTGAGCTTGACAGCGTGACGGAAGTCATTTGCCGGCCATGGTGTCCTCCGAGGTGGGAACTTCCTTTGATTGGGCTACTGCCGGGTTTGACGGCTCACAATACCAGGTCTTGCACCGGCTTGTTTCCCATCGAGCCAGGACCGCCAGAAGGGTCAAAATCTTTTGGACAGATATGGGACGAGTATGGGGCGCACACGACCCGTCAGAACAGGTCCGGTTACAGCATGCAGATGATTGTGAAGAACACGAGCTCACCGTGAGGGTCTTTGCTTCCTACTTGTGCATGGCCACCCTCCCCACCTTGTGTCGGCTGACCAGCACCGTTGCGCTTGGCATTCTCTTCCTGCTGCCGGTTGCCTTGCTCGTACATCGCCTGCTGTTTGATCGGCTGGTTCGAGCCTGTAGTGTTGAAGATGGCCTCCATATTGGGAGCCCGCGTCGCTTGCTCGATTGATTTGCAACAGTACTGCTCTGCAAAGGCTGGAAGCGCTCAAGCTTTTTCTATCCTGTAAGTTGAGGTCAGAAATGTGCAGAGTATCTGAAAAATGCTTTGCAAGTCTCCATCATGTTATTTTATACAGCCAACAGCGATGCGCGAATTGCGGTCTCGCTCGACTCTGACAATTGATTGAAGGCAGTCAATTGTCCAGCAGTGAATCCTGCCCTGCTGATGCAATGTTGCAACACCAGCGTCGATCATTGATAAGACCACGTCACCCTACAGTGTCACACAACAGTGTAGCGATGGAGAAGGCGAGAACGACCGAACGCACGGGTGCGTCTGCGATGATTTCTCCAACAAGATCGTCCCCGAGGTTCGGTCACGGTGGCAACGGGCGCTGATGTTCCACACATTACACCCGCCACGGATTAAGAACCGCTGTCAAATCCTTCTCCGGTCGATCATATTAGATGACCACTGGTGCACTGTCGGCATCAGAGCATTTATGAAAAGTTGGAACGGGATGAGCCGCGTTTTGGACAACGAACGGAGAGCGAGAGAAGACGCGAGATTCATTTTCGGACCCTGCTGTTCATCCGTCCCAAGTCAATTTCAGGGACCAGTTGCCATGATGACACCTGATTTCACTCCGGCAATGCTTTTCGAATGTAGAGCCGACGAATGCCACCACCGCACTTGAGCAAAAGTGCGATGAGCACGCAACTACATCATTCCAGTATCATCATCCTACGCAAGAGGGCGAGTGACAGGGCTCTTCTGGTACACAAAGATGGATCCTAAGTTCGTTTCTTCCAGGGCCAGGAGATTGGATCTGTGTTCGGGAGAGCGATTTGTGGATGGAATACGCTGCGAAAATGCAAAAGTGAGATATCACGAGTTCGACCCGCCATGGGACTTTTTGGCATCATTTGGCAGCAACCTTAGCTCTATGGATATAGTTAGGGCATTTTTGTGTGGTGTAGTCGACGCCGGACGATGCCGTCAGCCGTGCGTCATTTTTCGCAGCCGACATGCAACATAAAGTCTATGGCACACGATAGTGCCGACTTCTTGGTGACTGCTACCCGAGTAAAGTTGCAACGAAGGCTCGAGATGACCGAGGCGCAATTGCGAGGTCCTAGGACTTCAAGCGCGAGGACGATGGTCTTCTCGCTGGAACCCAGAACAAGGTGTGCGCCTACGGTGGCCCGTTCCAGGTTGGCACGCGCTTGCAGAAAGTGAGATTCGCCTGGTTGGAAGCGCTGCAATGAGCAACATCTCAAGTGTAGTTTCAAAGCGTCTCTTACTAGCCAAGAATTTGCCTCTGAAGGGGGGGGGGGGTTACGCAACTGAGCAATAGGAAAGAAATACAAAGATTCTACATGGTAGATAGAATATACAATCCTGACGCTCGCTGAAGGCGTCACTCTAATTTACCGGTTTGCAGATGAAATAGTCCCCTCTGAGATCTCTCTTGAGATAGATAATGCGGTACATACTGTTGACAAGGTGGTGGCGGATGGGATGATCTCACTCTCTCGTTCAAGCTTTGTTCCCTGTTGCTCTCCCAATTCTTAGCGTAGGACCTGCGCCTGGTGCGGAAGCAGCAGCAGCGGCGCCTGCTCCGTTCGTAGCCAGGATGTCACCTGCCAATCGGGCGAACGTGCCCTGATCAGCAGTGATGCGAGGACGTCGGTGCGGCTGATCGGGCTTGCGCATCGTCATTGCCGGCTCTGCTCCACCACGAACGTACTGAGAAGAGCCTCTTCGTTCCCAGTACAAGTAGTCGTTCCCGTTTGCATTGCGGGTGGCGACGGAGTCGATCGCGGAGAGCGCTTTTTTCCAAGATGGAGCCTCTGGCGCAGCACTGCGCGTTGTTTTTGGTGCTGCCAGCGGCTGGGGGGCAAATGAGGTCTGCGCTTTTGGACGTGGCAAGCTCAAGTTCGAACCTGAAGTTGCAGCGACCGCCTCCGCAGAATGTCCGTTGCCTTCTGCCGCCGCCGCCGCTGCTGCTGCTGCGCGGCCGCGAATCTGGAGCTTTACTACTGGCTTGCGAGCAACAGGTGCCGCACTTTCATATTGCTCCTGTCTGATCTTCACATCCTTAACGTTCTCGCTCGGCAGCTCGCTGCACGACGAATTGCATGTTTGATCGCCCCCGCCGCTAGCAGCGCCGAAAAGCTCGCCCTTTACCTTGTGCTTCCTTTCCGCCTTGCCACTGCCTCCGACTCCCCGCTGCTTACATTGACGGGTGTTGCGCCAGTCTCCTTCCCCAGACGCGGCTGATTGGCCTGCGTTATGACGCACATTGTGAGAGTCAGCCATCGTCGCATGCCCAGAGATTGGACTTGCACGGGTACCGATGCTTGCCGCATTGGAATGTTGCGTGTTAGCGTTGGAGACAATCTTTGATAGAGACATCGAGGAGGCAGCGAGTTTGATTGATTCGAGAGAGATCCCCCAGTCTTCCAGGTCTGGAAGTTCTTCTTCATCTTGGTTGTCGTCGGCCCAGCTGAAATGCGCCGCCGGCGGGGCTGTTGAGGATTTCATAGCCTTTGGTACCTCTTCAGCCGCTGCCGCCGCGGCGAATCCGTTGCCTTGTCCTAGTCTTTGTTCAAATGAGATTGCTGCTCCTGCGGAGGTTGAATCTGGTACCAAAATCCGGCCAGCAGCGGGGTCCGGGCCAACCGCACCCTGCTTGGTTACCGTACCACTCTGTAATGATGAAGGCAGTGTTGCTTCGTCTTCAATCAGGCCCGACCCTTGTTCATCGTCAGCCCCTTGCGGAGATGCCGGCACAGCAGGCTCAGAGAAGCTCGGGTCGGCTATGGAAAGTGCCGACACGTCCGATGGGTCGTTTGCAGGCTCTTCCACTTCTTGCGTCTCTAACCTATGCATGTCTTCGTTCGCCTCTCCTCGAGACCCAAAGGCATCCCTGCAATCTGGGGAGGAAGACACTTGAAGTTTCTGCCGGGTACTCGCAGCCTCCAGACTGGAGGAACCAGCGGCGGAAGATTTGTGTCCTCGACGCCCGCGCTTCTTCTCCTTCTTGCCCGGCGATGGATCCGAGACGTCGGTCTGTTCTTCGCCTCCCTGGCTCACTTCTGGCTGCTCCTCTATCCCATGAGGTTGAGTGCAGAGCTCGGCTTGCTCTGCAGACCCAAATACTGAAACATGAGCGGGCTCACGCGTCTTATCTCGTTCCTTCTCTTTCCCTCGCACTCGTCGCGACTTCTTCTTTTCTGCTGCCGCCCCCACAGCTACTTGCGGGGCTTCTGATAGCACTGGCGTATGCGTCTTGGTGGCCGAGGGAGCTTGAACTCCCTTAGGATGCCAGTCCTCTGCATCTTTTGACCCGCTTTTTCCAATGTCCGCATCGATCTGATCTGTCCGATCTCGCGCTTGGGATTTGGGTGATCCGGGTACCTCTGCATTCTCTCCTGCTACGACCAATGTCTCTTGCTTGAGCGTCTCCATCGCAGCGCTGCGCGATGCCCAGATGCTGGCGCCACTTCCAAGTCCACTTCGCGCATTACGCAGTCGATCCAGCATGGATTCGAGTTGAGCTCCTCCCGCTTTGCGCGGACTTGGAGTCTCTGGGGTTATGGTGCTATGAGCGCCACCGATGCTGGCGACTCCATCATTCGATGCAGACGGGACGCCATTGGCAAGCTTGGGCAGGACGGCAGGAGGTGCTGCGTCTGGTAGCGCGGTAGCTTTCGGGGCATAAATGCTCTCCGCCGAACCTTTGCCAATCCAGCCATCGGCCTTTCCGGATTCTTTGACAGCCTTTTCGGCCTTTTTGCGCAGCACATTATCTGCACCTAACCACCCTCCTGGGGAGATCGCCTTGCCTTCTCCGACTTTTCCACCTCTCGCCATGAACTCTTCCAGACTAGGCGGTGACTTGACGGCGAGAGGATTTCGACGCGAAAGTTCGTCCCAGCTGATCCACCGACCGGAGAACTTGTAGGAATTGCCTTTGCCGCGTTTTCGCAGGATCGTAGGAAATTCTATGCACGGCGGCTGCGTATTGGACACACGCGCCTTGGCAGAGTGAAGTTTTGACCCGGAAAGATCTGCAAGTAGACACACAGAGATCCTCCATTAAGCTTCGCACTCCAGAATGTATATTTTCTATAATAGGCGCACCATTGTCATTGATAGGCGTGACATGAGAGTTCCAGACATGTTGTAGGAAAGCCTTTGATCCGAATGATTCGTTGAATTCCACGAATTCTTCAGGACCCGGTCCTACGTGGAACAGAGTGGTCATAGATGTCATCTTGTCCTTGTGCCTTCCCCTTGGCCTGCATTAGTGTCGAAATAAGTTGGCTAGGTAATACGAACTGATATTGCGTCGCTCACCACAGCATAAGGATGAACGATAAACTCGACCTGTGTAACTCAGATGTAAATCACAGCGTCGATTCCAACGCCCGCAGGACAGCGAAAAGAGTCCGGAGCCGACATGGCAATGTGCTGTGCAAGAGCATGCCCTGCCACAAGCACGCTGTACCCAGAGAGGGAGGGAGGTTTGGATGAAGGTAAAGGATGTACATCGCTCGAGTTGTGGGCAGGTTGGCACATGCAGCTGTCAAAACAAGCGAGTCCTCGTCTTGCTGACCGATGGAGGAGCAAGAACCAGGCGCACGAGTCAGTGTGTAACCCTAAAGCCAGTGTACCCTCCTCCCACACTCCAAAGAAAGCCCCAGTCTTAAGCACCTCATCCATTGGCAATTGTGACAGCCTTGCAAGCGCTCAGAAGCATCGCACCTTTCGTCTCTGCCGGCAAGTGGCAGGCAGGTAGATCAGGAAGCCTTCAAACCGCGCGCACAGTGTTTCTGTGTTTGGAGTCACAGGGACACACCAGTTAGAAGTGAAAAGTAAGAGACGAGTCTGAGTGTGCGCATCTCCCGCGCGAGCGCAGGCTTGACAGTGAAGCTGGACCTTCACCCGGTCGGATTCTAGGGACCTGCACGTTGGTTAGCTCAATTTGCGAAAGTCAAGACCTCGGAAGGCGCTCTTTTTATTCTTGTTGACGTATTATATGCGCCGGGCGCACGGACAAGCGGAGCGTACACCATGAGCTTCTTCAATTCTATAGGGTGGGTCCACGCCCTTGCTTATTGCCCGCCTGCTTTCGCTCACAATTCGATGACGGATAACCCAAATCTTCTTCGCAATCTCAGGCGGTCTATGGGACGTTCAGGTCGTCCGAAAGGATCGTCACAACGTTCTCCGACCAGTCCAGATCTGCCCCAATTTCCGGGCGGCGGCGGTTTTAGTCAGTTCAGCCAGCCACAACAACAGCAAACAGGTGCGCTGGGCCAGACAAACGGAAAGCCACTCTACCTCTGCAACCCGTTCGTACGATCTGCACTGATCAAGGGAAGCTTCAAGACGATCGTAGTGCTGCCTAAGTACGTGGATCAGCGGGAATGGGTCGCTGTCAATCGTGAGTCTTTCAACGCAAGGCGCGCTGGGCATCCGACGAGAAGCTGACATGCCATGACATGCCCACTTTCAATGCATACAGTCTTTGACTTTTTCAACAACCTTAACCAGTTCTACGGCGTCATCACCGAGTTTTGCACTGTGCAGAACAACCCGACTATGTCCGCAGGAATTGGGCTAGACTACACCTGGGTTGACCAGAATCGCAAGCAAGTCAAGCTACCCGCGCCCCAGTACATCGACTACGTCATGACCTGGGTCGGCGGCCTTCTGAGCGACGAAGCCACCTTCCCGACCAAAGCCGCGCGCGACTTTCCACCAACGTTCATGGTGACGGCCAAACACATCTACAAGCAGCTTCTGCGTGTTTTTGCGCACATCTACCACGCTCAGTTCCAATGGCTCCTTCATCTCTGCTGCGAGGGGCACTTTAACAGTCTCTTTGCGCACTTTATCGCTTTCGGACGCGAGTTTGACCTGTTCGAATTCGACGAGTTCAAGCAAAGTGGAAACTCGAGTGGGGGAGGCTACCCGGGCGTGTGCGACCTGATAGTCGCATGGGTGCAACTGGGCGTCTTGGATGAGGGGGTTTTGAGGTGACGGCGACGTGGCACGAGCAGCATCCTATTTGTCCTGAACTCACGTGTATCTATAGCATTCAATGATCCAAAGTCGAGCGCGCACTCCTGGTATGAAGTATGCATTGTCAGCGCTTATCAGTCATCTTCTCTATTGCTACAAAAGGATGGTCAACAGGCAAATGCAGAAGAAACACGAAAGGTGGCGAGTGGCAATTGGGGGCGATGGAAAGCGAGTGAAGACTGATATACTGCATAAAAGTAAAATCAGAGGAAGTAGTCCGGGGCAGGTCGCTTGGCCGGTGCGCCATGCGCCTCTTGCGCCGCCTCGGTGAACGTCTCGTATTTTTGATTGAGCGCATCGTCTAGCTTGAGGATGCTGGCGACGTTGCCGCAGCGATAACAGTAGTTCGGCGCGGACCACACTGTTACGATCGTCTGGTCGAACATGAGCTTGTAGCCTTCTAGCACAAGCTGGTGCGCGCGGGCGATCAGATCGAGGTCATTATTGTGCGCAAACGTCGAGACGATGTCTGCGCCGAAGAGGAAACCTGCGCCGCGAGGCGACATGCCCCAACCTTGGATGTCTGCGGAGCAAGGACAGAGAGGACGAGAGATATTAGCCGATGGAACAGATTTCACATGCCTCCGAGGACAGGAGGAAGACACGCACCATCGGGATCGGACCAGAGAAGGTCGCACATGGCCCCGTCGTGTGGCACTTCTTGCTTGCGATCGATGGAGCGTATCTAGGGGTGGGCAGCGTGACGCGTTAGCCTGCACGCAACCAGCGTAAGTGCACTAAGAGGCTCTGTGAACGACCCACTTGATCGATCGTTGAGATGTTGGGGCTCAGTCCGCCATGCACGCAGAACACCCTCCCATCCACGACAGCCCCGATGGCAAGGTAGTCAAATACCTCGCAGCAATATCGCCAGACGTTCACGCTGCCGTACTTGCGCATACACTCGTCATAGAATCCATATACCTGGGTGATCTGGCGCGACTCGTGGTTGCCACGAATCAGAGTGATGCAGTCTGGGTATCGGACCTTGTAAGCCAGCAGGAGGAGGAAGGTTTCGACGCTGTAGAAACCTCGGTCGACAAAGTCGCCTGTCGTGTGGCCGGGGACTCTGTCAATCTTGCTGACAATGGAGGGCCTTTGAAAGCACTCACCCATAAAGAGGTACTTTGTTTCGGGGCACATGCCGCCATGCTTGAAGAGCTCCAGCAGGTCGTAGAACTGACCATGGATGTCACCGCATATTGTCACGGGCGCATCCACATGTTGCACGTTCGCCTCTTCAATCAGAATCTCTCGAGCTTTCAAGCAAAGATTCCGAACCTGTTCTTCGCTGATCTGCTTGCACTGTTGGAGCAGCTCGATTTGACTGTCGCCAAGGATGCAACATCCATGAGCAACCACCAGAGTGTGGCACTCGCTGCACCCTGTCTGACTCACTTGTCCAGATCCGATGGCATGAGGAGCGTCCACCGAGGGGCTCAAGGCCTCGCAAGTGCAATATGGGAGGCACAGGAGCAACTTTGAGCCAGATCCGATTAGACGATTTTTTGGCACCGAACGGATCACCTCGTCTTTATCGCCGTCGTCGTTATTGTGTGGCTAGGATGCGCTGATCCCAGCTCTGGATGGCCTGAACGAAGTCACCTGTGCGTGATCGAAAAGTGTTTGTTACAGCACCCTTTGGCACGTCCAGCGCTGCCATCCAGCAGGTTTGCAAAGGTCAGTCACACAGTTTGTCGATGATGCGCACTGCTGACCTTCGATAAAATGTGGTGGCATGATTCAGAACACTCAGTTGAACTCATGATGGTGCTGTGAAAGAAGTCGCCGCCATAGAGGGAAGAAGACAAGCCTTGATCGCTGACGTGATGTGGTGCCGGCTGCCTGGTGCAGCACTGCAGCGCAATCAAAAGGCCAGAAGTTGTTACAGCTGGCTGGCTTCAGGCGGCACGCTGCACGCGTGCGAACCACCATATGAGTTCCCCTCTAATAATGTCCGCAATGTCGTGAAGGCACAGAATGGATCACGTGATCATACATTCAGCATGTAATGGCATGGATCCCAGTGTCTCTGTCTCCCTTATCACTCATGGTCGACTCCGCCTCTCAAGACTTCTATGAATCTAGCCATTATTCCCTTACCACGTAAAGTGCCTCTGCGCATCTGCGCATTTGCCTACGGTGAGCGCCGACGGTCACGGCAATAATAATGGCCGGTGCCGCAGCGTCTTCCGTGCTCCATCGTGGTCGAGGCGCCGAGCACTCGAACTTGATTGAGACGTGCGCGACACCCTCTCTGACCTCCGTGTACGCCTTTTATGCATCTTGTGATCTTCACCCCGAGGTCTACAGCACGCTTCGTTTGACAGAAACCACTATACACATGCTTTGTTGCGCTCCCTCAGCATACTCTGAACTGAAGCGACAGAATGGCTTCTCAGGTCCAGTCTTTCCTCGACGGCTTCCACAAGCTGTTCACTCGCACTGCGAGCCGCTGGGGGAGTGTACGGTTGCCTTTCCTGTCTAGGGCGAACGGGAAAGGCTTTGCTATCGGTCCGATGACCTTGACGAAATCTCCGCAAGGCATCACAGCTTGGCGAGCAAGGCTTGGGGCGTCGCCTTGTTGAGCAAGCACCGTGTGCTCAACGTCTTCCACAAGCAGGCGAGCCCGCACGAGCTGGTCATCCTCTGTGACCTTACGAGCGGTAAGAAAGATGGTGACAACACCTACACTACGTGGACCGGGCACATGAAACTTGACAGGGAAGGAACGAAGGTCACGTATTGCAAGGCCTGGCTGGTGAGGATTCTACTATGGCTGATCGTGTCGAATGCCGGCGCGCTGACTATGTCACGTGCCTTGAAGACGGCTGGGTCGGAGCTGCCTTGAGTGAGGTACTGTTGTAACTATAATTCCAATTACGGGTCTGCCACCCTCTCTAAAAAGTAAAGATGTAGGCGGTAGTGCCATTCAAGTAGGAAGAAAGGACATGCGTCCAATGCCGCTAAGCGAGACGTCTGGCGGTTAATTGCATGGCGTGTAGGTACCGCGGATTCGTGTAGCATACACGCCAGACGAAAGAACGTGCATAGTCTTGACATGATGAAAGAGACATGACTCTATTCCGGCGCCAGCCCACTGAGAGCTAGTTGCACGCCAGTAGATGCCTCCCATCTTAGAAGCTCTCCCCTGACAGTCGTTCGAATACATCGCCACATTGAATGAGTTCCAGTTGTAAGACAGTGACAGATGCTGATACTAAAGCGAACCGCGTTGCAGACTACTGAATACGAGCAACATTCCACATCACCACTCCTATGGTACTGAATTGCACCCACGGCTTGGGCGCAAACTCCATGCCTTTTTGAGCGCAAACCTTACTTTGTCCAGGCGCCCTTATCATGAGTCAATCACGCTCACACAGCGACATCAGGTCTCGGCCTTTCAGGCCTCAATCCGGTACTTCAGTATCCTCTACTAGTGACAAAATATGACTCGATGACTGTTCTGTGACTGCATATCTGTCTTGTTGTTGCCATTCGCGGGAGAGAGTGAGAGATACCAGAGAGGTTGCTCGGACGGACCATGTGCATTGTGTGGCACTAAAACGACGGTTTAGCGGACCGTCTGATCGCAGTGAAGAGGATTGTTGCCGGTTTTCAGTTTCCTTTGCGCCGTTGTTGCGGGATCTGCAGAAGCTGTTGGACAGTTAGCATCTCCCCCCACCCCC